CAGGGCTTCCAGGAAAAATACACCAGACCGATGGGTCTGACACCTCCAATCAGCATGACCCGAAAACCATAAGTCCGAAACATCGCGACAGCCCTTGGGCCCATCTCGAAAATCGCGAGGATCTCGAGCAACCGAAACTGATGACCTCCAGGCAGTTGGGGGGGGCGCATCCAGGATGAGACCCATCCCATCCAAGCCCAGCTGAGGACCTAGGGTCTGGTCAAACCGCGCGCATGTCCTCCAATCGCAGCGGGGGGGCGCCAGCCTCGCCGGGCGGCGCCTCCCAAGTCGATGGAGGAGGCCCCCCGCCTGCTTGAAACCACGCAACGCAGCACCACAAGCATTCGCCAACTGCTCGAGCGCGGCCTGACCTGCCACAGGCAGTCGCTCAGGGTTCCGTCATCTGGATTGGACGATGGCCGCCAGGAGCTCAGAGAAGGCGCGGGCGGCCTCGCTTCCGCCCGTCGCCGCCTGCATAGCCCACCCCTTCCACTTGAGCGGCTGCGAAGACGAATCCAGCTTCCGACAACGAGAACTTTCTTGCTTGAGGCGATCTCGAAGCTCCTAGCCGCACTCCTCTGGACACTCCAAGGCAGACACCTGCGACCTCAACTGAGCTTCCGATGGGGGGGGGGGGCGGGAAATATTCCCGGGCGACCAGCACGCTGAGCAACATGCGCCCCCAGAGACCAAGCAAGCACCGACCATCGGCCCCTGGGACCCCCTGGGGCGCGGCCCAAACCTTGCGCAGAGTGAGGGCGAGGCTACCCGAGTCGTCGTCTGCTCCGAGAAAACAAACGTCTCCGTTGACTACGCTCCAGATCGGGCAGACAGCGGGACTTTCCAGGTTCGGGGTCCAGTCGAGCGCCCAGAGTGGCCTCGAGGGCCCTCAACCCCGTGGATCTCGACCAACCTCTGCTCAGCTTCGGTTGACCACCCCAGGGGTAGCCAATCTGGATAATGATCCAGAGGGCCACTCCACTGGTCAACCTTCTCCGTTGCGGCATTGGCCCCATGAGCGAAGTACTGAGCGGCTGGAAACTCACCTGCGTGTCCACGACGGCAGACTGGCCGAAGTTCCTCGACCGCAACAGCACTGGACTGCGCGGGTAAAGAAGGGCTTCTGCGGTGGATGACCTGAACGTCTCTAGCACAGGAGCTAACGGTCGAGACGGCAGCACTGAGTAGTCAAGGACCCGCCCCCCGCCGCCATGCCACTTCCAAATCTTGACCCTGCGCAACGCACCACGCAGCCCGGGGCGCGCACGTCGAGGAGGTAGGCCGCTCGGGAGCAGCTACCGCACCGCGCGCGCGGGGCGCAGCCAAACAGAAAAAATGGCCTCGGGATTCAGGCCCAAGTCCCCCTGCGCGATCCACGGGCGAGAACTGCGCGGCAAGATCCCACCGGGCACCTCCAATGTCCAAGATTCTCGCCTTTGACGCCCAGGTCGTCGGCGAGGTAGGCACTGCAATAAATCGAACCCCGCGTTGAGCAGCCGACCAACGACCCCCCCCCCCATGCACTCCTAGCCCCGGAACCTCGATGGCCCGAGACCCGACGTCGCTGGAAGCCAAGCAGAACGACGCAGGGGACCTTCACCAGTGCTAGGAGCCTTCCTGAGAGACAAGGCGCACGCATCATCTCGCCGACATCATCTCGCCGGGGCATTTCAAGTGCGTCTCCTGCAGGGCCAGCACCTGGAACTTCGAGGCCTGGTCGGACAGCCCCCAGGCCTCCGTCCCCGCGCAGGGCCTGACCACTATACCAATTGACAGCAATGTCTGTGGACGTCAACCTGCTCAAGTTCATGCCAAGCATACATAGGTCAACAACTTGCATGCCTCCGTCGGGGGGCGACTGTATGCCGGCTTGGCCTGGCCTCGAACTGGCCGCGCAACCTTCCTCCTGTGCTCCATGACCCCTGGGGCGCGCTGAGCCCCTCGCCGAACTCGTAGCTCGCGTGGTGACGTCTGCTGGCCGCCTGCCGATTCGCTGACGGAGGGGTCTCGAGCGGCGGCCCTGCCTCCCTAGGCCATAGCATGAAAGCAGCCCACCGTCGTCACCTGCACCCGTGGCGCCTCAGCAGGACAGCCCGTGAGTGCACCTGCTGACGCGGAAGCCTAGCCGAACCTGAACACCGAAGTTGCCCCGACCTCTTCGCGCCCCTCATGGCCGCGCCCCTCATGGCCTGGCCTTGCCATCGCTCGGACGCCCATTCCCGGTGCATAGTTCGACGTCGTGCGTTTATTGCTCGACAATGTTATAAGATGCTTCCCCATGGTCCTCGCCGTGGAAAGAACGCACGCGTTCGAACCATGCCAAGTGTCCACCCGTCCTGGTCGTGGGTTGTTTCCTGCTGCTCGGCCACGACGCGACCCGCTGCGACCTCGATTCTGGCTCGACCACGCACTGGGATGGGAGTAGGCCGAAGAGCAAAGAAGGAGCCAAACAAGGACCGAGGAGGCCTGGGTCGCAGAGCTGGAACCGCGAAGCCAGCGTTGGGCCCTCCACATCCACGACGTTGTAGTCCCAGAACTTACGATCCCGTGTTGCTGCTGCTGTTGCTGCCGCTGCTGATGCTGCTTCTGCTGGGCGCCAGGCTCGCTGGACACGATTGGCCTCCTCAGGTCACTAAACCCGCCGCGCCCGCTTGCCTGTGTGCTCGGACAAGAGCTTGGCAACCGCCTGTGTGGTGTCTCGCTCTCTGCCTCCATGGACTGCTTGAGGGCCAGCTGGAATCCGGCGCCTTGGAAATCATCCATGTCCATGGGTACTGGGCGGTCGACGACTCGTGCACCTTCGGCTGGGCCTGCTTGTTAACCCTCCTGCTGGACCTGCCCAACAGTGGGGGCCGATCCACAAGAAACCTTCCACAAGAAACCCAACCCTGAGACCCCAGGACGCCTATTGGTTTCTGGCGTGGGAACGTCACGCCTTCCATCGCCAAACCATCGAAACCCAAGAAACCAAAGGCACCCTGGAGGCAATCAGGGTGTTTCTTGGCAGGGGCCCCCACTGAAGCTCATGCATGAGCTGGGATATCAGGAGGAGGCTGACGAGCAGCGGCGGCAGCCTGCTAGAGACGCTCCAGCGTGGCCGAGGCCGCCTTCGCCCCTTTACTCTCGAGGATCGAGCTGTCGACCGCCGCCGGGGCGAGTCTGACCGCATGATTGACATCCTGCGCATGCACACGACTGAACAAAAGTTCTGCTTCGGCAAACTCTGAGCGCTTCTCACTGAAGCTCTTCTGGAGGTCGGCCTCCTTCTGTCTGAACCAAAGTTTCACGCTGATGTTCCAGCTCTGCCAACGCCCGCCCAATTTTCTCGCGAAGGTTATCAACCCTCCACCGTGCCAGGACGATCGAGGGTGTGTTGTCCGAGACCTAGCGCGTCTGGGCCTCCGTGACTGGGGCGAGCACAGTCTCCCTGATACCCTTCTCCTTGAGGAGCAGGAGGACACACTTGAAGGAGAGCCCTGTCGAGCTGCCTTCGGCACTCTGCTGCTGCTTGGGCGGCGGTGGTGACTGGTCCCCTTGCCCATGCCCCGACCCTCTTTTGAGGCTGAGGAGCTGCGAGACCTGCTTCTTCGGGGCATCGATATGATTGGACGGATCGCTGGGACCTCGACCGCTGCCGGCACCACACTCGATCTGATTTGCTGCTGCTATCGTTGTCTGCACGACTTTGTGCGGCGCTGTTCCGCGCACCGCCTGCATCTGAGCCGACCGGCCCAGCTGTCGCGCGCGCCGCACTTCCCGCACCCCCAGTGGAGCTGATGAGGCCCTGGGAACAGATCACCCATCATCAATCTGAGGCGCGAACTCAAACAGCTGGCTCGCGCCCATTCGCCGCTTCGAAGAGAAAGGGCGCAAACTCGAGATTCACTCAATCAGCTCAAGCCGAAACGGCTAGGGGGAGAGGAAGGGGAAGGGGAAGGGGGGGAGGAGGAGGAGGAAGAGGAAGAGGAGGAGGAGAAGGAGGACGAGTAGGAGGAAGAAGAGGAGGGGAGAGAAGGAGGAGGAGGAGGAGGAGAAGGAGGAGGAGGGGAACTGGTGCAACCCCAAGGCGTATCAACGATGTGCAACAAACACGCCACTCTAGTTCCCTCTACATAGGTCCCTATAAGATGCTGTTTCCATTGCGGGAAGTGCCCCATCGAAAGAAAACAGTCTGAGAATCCCAAATCGTGCCCAAACACTATTACTGGGACTTCAACGCAGCGAATCAACATGACTGTCTCTCCATGACAACCCAAAATCGTGACAGAACACCGTTCCTGGGATTTCAACACCACGAATAAACGTGACTGCTGCGTCCTGACGATCCTAAACCGCACTAGAATGCTGGTCCTAGGACGTCAATCATACGAATATGTCCAACGAATGCCAACGCTCAAGACGAATGTGCGAAGCGCCAAAGCGAAAGCCACATGTTGAAAGGGAACCGCTCTCCATCATTGAAACTGATGCAAACTGTTAAGACGAATATGCGCGGCGCTACAGCGAGAGACACATTTTAAACAACAAACCATCCCTGACATCTTTGAAAGCGCTGCAAACTTGTAAAACAAATGTGCGCGGCCCTAAGGCGAGAGCCACATTTTGAAAACCACCCACCCTCCATCCTTGCAGATGTTACAGAAGTTCACGCTTCAGGATCACAACATGGTGAGGAAGTCTCAAGCGAAGCGCCGTGCTCGCCTGACCGACACGTCTTGTGGTGCGAGGGAGCGCAGATATTGATATGGAAAAGGCATGGAGGAGGAGGAGGCGGAGAAGGAGGAGGAGGAGGCGGAGAAGGAGGAAGAGGAGGAGAGAGAGGAGGGGGGTCTGGAGGAGGAGAACCCGTGCAACCCCAAAGCGGGGGAGGAGGAGGGGGAGGAGGAGGGGGAGGAGGGGGACGAGGAGGAGGAGGGAGGGAGGAGGAGGAGGAGGAGGAGGAGGAGGAGGAGGAGGAATAGGAGGAGGAGGAGGAGGAGGAGGGGGGCTGGAGGAGGAGCCTCGTCGCGCACCAAGCAAGACCTGTCCCAGCTGCCGTCCAGGCTGAACCACGCCGTGCCGCCCGACGCCCAGTCTGGTACGGCCTCCCACGGGCACCGCGGGAGGCCAGCACAACAGCGGCGAGGGCGAAGGCGACGACGACGACGAGCTCCTCGAATAGCGAAGATGGGAGATGTCACGTGCGACAGCGGTACTCCTCCTCCTCCTCCTCCTCCTCCTCCTCCTCCTCCTCCTCCTCCTCCTCCTCCTCCTCGTCCTGCTCCTCCTCAGCCGCCTTCTCGGCCTCCTCCTCCTCCTCCTCCTCCTCCTCATCCTCATCCTCCTCCTCCTCCTCCTCCTCCTCCTCCTCTTCTCCCAACGCCACCATCATCATGATACTGACATCGTCATCATCGTCATCATCGTAATCAAGATCATCATCATCATCATCATCATCATCATCATCATCATCAGCAGCAGCAGCAGCAGAAACATAATCAGCAGAATCGTCGTCGTAGTGGTCATCATCATCATCATCATCATCATCATCATCACCATCATCAGCAGCAGCATCATCATCATCATCGTCGTCGTCTTCATCGTGATCAGCATCGTCACCATCCTTCGTCACCATTGTCAGCATCATCATCATCATCATCATCATCATCATCATCATCATCATCATCATCATCATCATCATCATCCTCATCATCATCATCATCATCATCATCATCACCATCAGCATCGTCGTCGCCATCATTAGCATCATCATCATAATCCTCATCATCATCATCATCATCATTATCATCGTCATAATCATCAGAAGCATCATCAGGGGCATCATCATCAGCGGCGGCAGCATCAACATCACTACCATCATCATCACAATCATCAGCATCCTCAGCATCAGCATCATCAGCATCAGCATCAGCATCATCATCATCATCATCATCATCATCATCAGCATCATCATCATCATCATCGTCATCATCAGCATCATCATCATCATAATCATCATCATCAGCATCAGCATCATCATCATCATCATCACCATCATCATCATCATCACCATCATCATCATCATCATCATCATCATCATCATCATCATCATCATCATCATCATCATCATCTTCATCATCATCATCGTCATCGTCATCAGCGTCATCGTCATCATCATCATCATCATCACCATCATCATCAGCATCATCAGCATAATCAGCATCATCATCAGCATCAGCAGCAGCAAAAACACCATTAGCGGAATCGTCGTCGTCGTGGTCATCATCATCATCATCATCATCAGCAGCATCATCATCATCATCATCATCATCATCATCATCATCATCATCATCATCATCATCAGCATCATCATCATCCCCAGCAGCAGCATCATCATCATCATCATCATCATCATCATCGTTGACGTCATCGTCATCAGCATCGTCACCACCCTTCATATCAACAACATCATCAGCATCGTCGTCACCGTTATCAGCATCATCATCATCATCGTCTCCATCATCATCATCATCATCATCATCATCATCATCATCATCATCATCCCCATCATCATCATCATAAGCATCATCACCGTCATCATCATCAGCAGCATCATCATCAGTAGCATCAACATCATTACCATCGTCATCATCAGCATCATCAGCATCAGCATCATCATCATCATCAGCATCATCAGCATCATCATCAGAATCATCATCATAATCAGCATCGTCATCGTCATCAGCATCATCAGCATCATCATCAGCATCATCGTCATCGTCGTCATCATCATTATCGTCATCGTCATCAGCATCATCAGCATAATCAGCATCACCATCATCATCACCACCATCATCATCATCAGCATCATCATCAGTAGCATCAACATCATTACCATCGCCATCATCATCAGCATCATCAGCAGCAGCATCAGCATCGTCATCATCAGCATCATCGTCATCGTCATCAGCATCAGCATCATCATCATCAGCGTCATCAGCATCATCAGCATCATCATCACCATCATCATCATCGTCATCAGCATCAGCGTCATCAGCATGCCCATCATAATCAGCATCACCATCACCATCATCATCACCATCAACATCATCACCATACTTATCATCATCACCATCATCAACATCACCATCACCATCACCACCATCATCATCATCATCAGCAGCAGCATCATCATCGTCATCGTCATCATAATTTTCCCTATCCCCATCATCCTCATCAGGGCGCCCCCAAGCCTGGAGACACGAGGTGTCGGTGTCACATGCGACGTCCTCCGGTGTCCCCACGAACAAGCGCCACCCAAAAATTCTGGGCTGGTGCGGTGGCGAGCTTGCCGTTTGGCAGCTGGGCTCGCCGGAGGCGACGTCGAAGCGGACGGCTCCGACGGCACAAGCCAAGCATTTGGAGGTCCGCGCAGATTCTGCTGGTCGGCATGGACCCCCTTCGGGATCCACCAAAAGGGGGGTGTCCCTGAGGGGGGGCATGAATTCGATCCGCTGGTGCACCGAACTGCCGCAAACAGATGCCCTCCACGTGCCCCACCTATCGGCAACGATCGGGTGCTGCCGGCGGCTGGGGGGCATCTGCTTGGGGCGGTTCGGTGCAAAACACGATCGAACTCTCACACACACTTTTTTTGATCCGCGGGTCGAGAGCGCACCTCTTCTGGTCGAAGCTAAGCGGGCAGCGCACAGCTTTAATTGACAGAGGGGGGAAGGCAGAAGGAGGGGCCTCACGTCAAGGTCAAGAGAGGGCAAAGCCCCGGAATCAGGCGGTGCCGAAGACAATGTGCATGCAAACTCTCACACACACAGACACTCACACACACACACACACACACACACACCGGGGCACACACACACACAAATTCACACACACACACACACACCCTTTGCGGGATCCCGACCCCTCCCATGGGGCGCGGAGCGCGCCAGGGGCAGCGCAGGAGGCGCTGTCAGCGGGGCTCCAGCGCCAGCAAGGCTCCCAACGTCGCCCCAAGACGGCCCAAGAGGCGTCCCAAGAGTTCCCCGAGACGACCCAAGACGGCCTGGTCCTCCTCCTCCTCCTCCTCCTCCTCCTCCACCTCCTCCTCCTCCTCCTCCTCCTCCTCCTCCTCCTCCTCCTCCTCCTCCTCCTCCTCCTCCTCCTCCTCCTCCTCCTCCTCCTCCTCCCTCCCTCCTCCTCCTCAGCAGCAGCAGCAGCAGCAGCAGCAGCAGCAGCATCATCATCATCATCATCATCATCATCATCATCATCATCATCATCATCATCATCATCTCATCATCATCATCATCATCATCATAATCATCATCATCATCATCATAAGCATCATCATCATCATCAGCATCAGCAGCAGCAGCATCATCATCATCATCATCATCATCAGCATCATCATCAGCATCAGCAGCATCATCATCATCATCGGCATCAGCATCATCATCATCATCAGCATCATCATCATCAGCATCATCAGCATCATCATCATAATAATATTGTTATTCTTCATCATCATCATCATCATCATAATCATCATCAGCATCATCATCAGCATCAGCATCATCATCATCATCATCATCATCGGCAACAGCATCATCATCATCATCATCATCATCAGCAGCATCATCATCATCAGCATCATCAGCATCATCATGATAATAATTTTCTTCATCATCATCATCATCATCATCAGCATCATCATTAGCATCAGCATCATCATCATCATCATCATCGGCATCAGCATCATCATCATCATCATCAGCATCATCATCATCAGCAGCATCATCAGCATCATCATCATAATAATCTTCTTTTTCTTCTTCTTCATCATCATCATCATCAGCATCATCATCATCATCATCATCATCATCATCATCATCATCATCATCATCACCATCATCATCATCCCTGCGTCTTCTGCCTCTGGAGGGCCGGCGCTGGGCCCCCCGAGGACCGTCGGGAGAGGAGAGCTCGGGACGAGAGTCGGGTCCCCCGGCAGGGGCCCAGACCTCCGAGAGATCTCTTCTGCGAGCAAGAGCAAGGCGGCGGGCGAGGGGGGGAAGAAGGCCTTCTCAGAAGGTTCGGAGGAGGGGGAGGAAGAGGAGGAGGAGGATGAGGAGGAGGAGGAGTCCGTAGCCATTTGGCTCAAGGCTCGGCCAGCAGATTTTCAGTTGCGTTTATCGCTGTCTGAATACCCCTCCACAGTTCGGTAAGGATGCAGTTTCCTGATCAATGTTCGGATGTGCATACCCTAATCACCTCTCTGCATCGGGCTACGTTGCTCCGCCTCGCGAAGGCAAGTGGAGGCCACATCCAAGGTTGCTCGATCGGGGCCAAGCAGTGTGCGATGACGCCCCACTGGAGGAGGCGATGCCGCGAGTTGGACACCGTGGCAGGATGGGCAAGGAAAATATCACCCGAGAAAGTTCAGAACTTCCTCACCGAGCTCGACGCGGAGCTAGCAGGCCAGAGGGCCTGCACAGAGACGTCGGAGGACGCTGCCAATCACAACTTCCTGGCATCTGGAAGGTACGTCGACATTGGCACGCAGACCCAGGACGGACGCGTCCACAGCAGCGGCCTCGAGCAGGAGTGCCAGACAGACCTGAAGCTCCACCACTTTGCTCAGGCCGCCAAGCAGAGCTCCATCTCTGATGACGAAGTTGCCGACTACGAGAAAGAGTTCTTCCCGCACCTCGTCGTGCACAGTTCGCCTGATGAGCAGGCTACGGATCCCGATAAGCACCAGGGCGGTCACATTGCCGACGAGGTCAAGCTCTTCGACTGCCGCGCCGACAGCAGCTCTGAGGTCAACACCTTCGAGGTCAGCCACACTGACTGCGACACGGAGGGGGCCCTTGACTGCTACGACGACGGCAGTGCGGGCAAGAGCACCGAGAAGGCCTCGGATTGGGGCAGTTGGGCCTCTGACGAGGAGGCGAAGGACACTTCTGCGCCAACTGATTCATGCTCGCTCGTGCTGGACATCCCAGATGTATGCCTCCGCAGTCTCCATTGTATTTTCGCCAAGCCGATTCCGATGGCTCGATTGCCGAACGTCACGAGATACTGCCCTTTGTGTGGAATCGGAATCAAGCAGCAAAGGAGGCTGTACAGAGATCGGCCTCATCTATGTGTGGACTGCAGCAGCAAGAGTGTTTAGCAGGCCCCGTTCCTGCTATAGCTCCACACCCATTGCCCTTCATCCATCTCTCAGCAGATTGCATGTGTAGATCTCTCGTTGGAGGAATGGGGGAAGGGGGAATTATGGGAGATGGGATCCGGGAGGCTTCGCTCGCCAGATAGAGGTCAGACGGCCTCGCGCGTGACCTTCCTGCTCTCTGAATGTTCTCCCCCACCCATCGTCCTCCATCCTGCTAGCCGCACGAGTAGGCTTTTGGAGTGGGTGGAAGGGGGCGGGAAAAGGGGGGGACACTCGTTACGACGATGTTGTCGCCTTTGCGCAGCATCCTACATATCTGCCCTGCCCGAGACGTCCTCGGGGCGTCCCAAGTTGAGCGGGCTCTGGGCCTCATCCCCCTTCTCCTCCCCAGAAGCAGAATGCCAGAACAGGCCTGTTTTCCACAGCCTGCCCAGTTCTCGAGGGGAGGGAAGGGAGGGAAGAGCAGGTGGAGGTTTGCGACGTCACCCCACGGACAGCGTGGCTGGGGAGGTGCCAGCCCGCGCTCGGGCAGACCCATGGCGAGGGAGCCGCGGGCCAGCCCTCCAGGGGACTTCGGAAGCACCATTCTCCTCCTTCCCTCTCTTCCTCCCTCCTCTCGGCCTTCCTTCTCCATGGTGCCTTAGTTTTCCCACTCCCTATGTTTGTCCTTTCCTGCTCCTAGAGTGGGCTTGGGACTCCTTAGTGCAACAGTGCAACAGAGGAGGAGGAGGAGGAGGAGGAGGAGGAGGAGGAGGAGGAGGAGGAGGAGGAGGAGGTGGAGGAGGTGGAGGTGGAGGAGGAGGAGGAGGTGGAGGAGGAGGAGGAGGAGGGGGAGGAGGAAGAGGAGGAGTCCCCCGGCACTCTGGGAAGTTCTCTGAGCCTTCCCCGAAGACAGAGAAAGCTTCTCAGAAGGCGCGAGGGCTTATGAGGAGTCCCGCCGCCTTCTGAGAAGGCCTTTTCCTTCTCACTTCCCCCCCTCGCTCGCCGCCGAACAAAAACACGGATGCCTTCGGTGCGGGACGTAGAATGACACGGGCCACGTGCCTCTGCTGGGAACGCCCGCACGACCCGAACAGATCGTGCAACACAAGTTGTAGCATATAGTTACCCGTCGGTCGGATAGAAACATGAAGCAGGAAGGCGTTGAAGTAGATTGGGCTTCCGCCCGTCCCCTGAGGACGAGGGAAAAGGGACAACCGATCGGCTCTGGATTCAGGAAGGCACCTAAAATAGATTGGAACATGGGCATCCAGAAGTACCTACTTCCAACGACCGAAAGGTAGTGCAAAGCAACTTGCTTGTAGCCTCTCGTTATCCAAGCGGTATGGTATGACCCAGAAAACGCACGCCACAAAGCTTGTACTATCAGCGCTGTGAGCAAGCGGCGCCTCGCCCCTGCGAGGCCGACGCACACGCAGGTACAAGTATGTTTGGCTGATACCAAGTGTTCCTCCTCCTCTTTTTCCTCCTCCTCCTCCTCTTTGCCCTCTTCCTCCTCCTCTTCCTTCTCCTCCTCCTCCTCCTCCTGCTCCTCCCCCTCCCCCTCCCCCTCCTCCTGCTCCCCCCCTGAGATCCGACGCGGAAAGAACAGCAACCTCGCAGAAGATCGCGAATGGAGCCCCGCACCCTATCTTGCTGTGGCGTGTTTCGAGCCCGATCGATCTGGGGTGGCCCGAGGGGGCCCAGAACCTGGCGAAATCGCCCGCTTTGGGGAAAAAACTGTACTCCAGATTTCGCAATAAAGGGAGGGGGGTCTCATTTCGGGGGGGGGGTCTCTTCCAGGCTATCTTGGAGGGCCTGGGGGGTCTGGGGACGATGTTTTGGAGGGTTCTCCCACGGGGGAGGTCTGAAATGGTTTGTCTTGGAGGGTCCAGACGCCCTCCCTTTTATTACGAAATCTGGAGTAGCGCCAGCATCCTGGGGTCCAACTGCAGGGGCGAGCGTCCTGCACCCGGAGCGGCTTCGGCCACAAACCGCGGCAGCGATGGCGGCGGGCATCCTCCTCGTCCTCCTCTCTCCCGATTGCACACCTGTCCGATTCCGCGGCGAAGTGCGAAGAGAATCCGCTGCCGCGACGGCGGCGGACAGTCGACCCCGTAGCGACGGCGGCGGACAGTCGTCCTCCTTCACACGCTCACCGTCGTCAGCGTCGTCGTCGCCGCCGTCGCCGCCGCCGTCGTCGTCTATCTCATCGTCTTCCTCCCTCCCCCTTCTTCTCTGGAGGGTCGGCGGCTTGGCGCGAGCCTCTTGAATATGTTTAGCTGGCACCGACTGCTCCTCCTCCTCGTCTCGCTACGATTCCTGCCTACCACTACTACTAACACTACGACTAGCAATACTACTACTACTACTACTACTACTACTACTACTACTACTACTACTACTACTACTACTACTACTACTACTACTACTACTACTACTACTACTTATACTACTACTACTACTACTACTACTACTACTACTACTACTACTACTACTACTACTACTACTACTACTACTACTACTACTACTACTACGACCACTACGACCACTACTACTACTACTACTACTACTACTACTACTACTGCTTCTTCTACTACTACTACTACTACTACTACTACTGGTACTACTACTACTACTAC